TTATATATATTTTTTATCTGACTCTCTAATGACAAGAAAAAATATATTTTGGTATTTTTTACTTGTAAAAAAAAAGCAATCTAAGAATTATTCAAAAACGTCCGTAAGGTTATCGAAAATACATTGGTACTAAAATAAAAAAAGTAGTTTTAAATTTTTTGTTTCATTTATATACAAAAATTCATCAATAATTGATTTTGTAAATTGAATAAGTTTCAAGGATGAATAACTATTTTTTTTTTAGATATAAATACCTACAAATAAGTGTAAATTTAAAACATATTTTTTTGCAAGTGAGCCGTGCTTACCTTTAACGCACAGAAAGACATTGGTGTTTCACGATATATTTCATAACCATAAATTATTAAAATGCTAAACATAATAAATTCTCTTATTTTAATCTAAATTATTGTAAAATGATAAAAAAAAGTATGAAAAATATGCTTAATAAAAATTCTGCCACTGAGGGTTAAATCAATAATTAATAAATTCTTATAAATTTGCCTCTAAATCGTTTTTAGACGATTTCCCGACAAACAAAGATAGATGAAACTTAATTCTAGTTTGTTCCAAATAGAAGTTGCTAAAATTTTATTTCCTGAATATAAGCCTAAATATACGTATATTTATTTTAACTTTTTAAACAAAAATATATTCATTAAAAAGTATTAAAATTCTCCATGAGAACATGCAGATGTGTATATATGTCTATCTATCTATCTATCTATTTATCTATCTATCTATATATATAGTGTAAATCTTTCAGTGTATATATATATATACTCTGAAAGATAATATATATATACACTGAAAGTTTAATATATATATAGATACCTCGATTTCGTAAATTAAATTCATTAGCAATAATGAATATATTAACCGAAAAAAAAGACAACTAACTATTTTAAAAATATTTAACTGTGAAGAATGAATGAAAATGTTTCGTCGTGTTATTGAAAATACTTTTAAATTAGATTCTTTGCGAGACAGTTGAATTCGTGGAGCAGCATCTTGTCTACTTCCGAATTAGTTTGTGGTACATAGAAATGTTGAAAATAGAACTGAATTAGGATTTTCGTTGAAATGAAAATGTAAAACAATCGTTAGAAAGATTGAAAATCGTTTTCATAAAATTTGAACTCAAAAGTTCGACGAGTTCGACTCAAAAGTTGAACTCAAAAATTTCGAATTAGAAAATTCTACTAGGGAAATTTTTTATCTGTGCATATTCTTTTCATAATTTATTCAATGTGTTGCTCGCAGTATAGATGTCACGATCAATGTGATTCATTAATAATAACCGGTAATTATTATTAATAACCAAAGAGGACGGTGAAAGTGATTCACTTAAGCGAATTTATCACATTTACCGTTTATTATTAATAATAACCAATGAAGTTTGGTAAATGTAATTCTTTCTCGTTTTTCTTATGGGTTGGAAACAGCATGACAAAATAAGCTGATTGTTTATTTTAGAATTGGACATAATATAGCCTACGTCACAGGTTGTGTTGTTCCTACTAAATTTAACCCATGAACGGCATTTTCTGCGAGCCTAACTTCAAGCCACAAATAAACAAACGAAATGTTCGATCGTTTAAATAGCTGCTCGCCAGATTTTATTGCATTATAAAGAAAAGTTATTGAAACTAAATACAACTAAATAAACAACAACTAAAACAAATAACAACAACTACTAATAACAATAACTAAATAAACAACAACTAAATTCCATTCGTTTAGCATTGCGTCATATGTTGTTCCTACTAAATCGAAGTAGTTGTGTTTTTTTCATATTATACCCAATTTAGGCTCTCGATTCTTTCTTTGTCATTTTTAGGCGTTTGTATTATAGTTTTTCACAAAATAAGAGTCATTTTGACACGTTTCACAACGACACAATGGATGACAATTTAGAAGTCATGAAATGACGTTTTAGAAACTGTTTAGACATACTCAAAACAAAAACAAAAAAAGGTAAAAATGAAAACTTTATATAAACTTGGTTCAAAACATGGCACTTTAAAACAACTGTACATAAGGAAAGGTTTTACCGCCCGTATGGTAGCTTTTATTTCAGCGAATGAAGTTCCAGTGAATGAAATAAGACTAGACTAAGAGAATGCTTTGATAAAGATTCGAACTTCGGTGGTCAAGGATTGCAATAGAAACTCGAGTCGTTGCAAATGTAAAAAGTAAAAAACACTTTGTAATTCCAAATGTCATAGTAGCTTTACTTGCCAAAATAAGTAATTAGTTTAAAAAAATTTAATATTTTAGTTCAAAGCAGCTATGTATTTCTAATATTTTTTTTTTTTTTGAAAAGTGATGTGATTAAAAATTAAAGTATAGCCTACACCAGTGTTTCCCAAAGTGTGGTATGTGTACCCCCAGGGGTACGGGAACAGTTTAACGGGGGTACGTGTTCTTATGCGAAATATCTTGCAACAAACGAAAATTAAAAAAAAAAAAAATTAACTAAAAGCTAGCCATGAAAATTTACGATTACGTATTTTTCTATTGGCTATTTTTTTCAGAGTTAATAGTTGATAATTAGTGGTGTCAACAGCTAGTTGTGATTTTTAACTTATGTGCAATTTTTGAGTCATCTTTGAGTGTTTATCCTATTTAGAGAAACTTTGGTTTACCTTAGAACATTTTTTAATCTTAGATGTACTTAGCCTTGAATGGGGGACACTTGAACTTTTAGTCGACTATTTTAATTATTCTATTCTTATTTTAGTCTTATTTGTATTTAATGTGATTTTTCATATTTTTACCATTTGATGTTTTACCTGACCTTACTTTTATATGTTTTTACCTGTATTTTTGACACCTTTACTGTTGGTTGATTTTATTCACTTAGATGTTTTAAGCACTTTTAACTTTCATTCTGTTTTATTTTTATCATCTATTCGATTTTGGAATTTTTCCTGTGTGTATCAATATTTTAAGTTTTGGTTTTACTTTTCTGTAGTTTTGTTATGTTTAGTTCACGTGACAACGGGTGAAACCCTTATCCGCAAACTCCTTCGGTGGTAGGTCGGTTACTATTACTATTATGTGCAATTTTTTTTATAGAAAAAAATACATTCATTTTTTTACAAGTGGTACACAGCGCTATGAAAAATTTAGAAAGGGTACACAAAAGTTATAAGTTTGGGAAACACTGCCCTACACTGATGCTTCTTCTTCTTTTTTTTTTAAAAAGTTACGTGCCACTGCCTAGAATACAAAATGCTATATAAACCATTTAATCACATTTACCAAACTTCATTGGTTATTATTAATGATAACCTGCTATTATTAATAATTACCGGTTATTAATAATAACCAAAAGAAACGGTTATTATTAATAATGACCCGTCATTATTAATATTAATCAGATTTATCACTTATATCCTAACATTTAAATTTTTTAAAATTTGAATTTGAATTTTTTTTTCTGGGAGGGTGATCACTTGGATCAGTCTGCGTAGGGACCGGGGGTACGCGGTATGGGTCCTCGTTAAACTGTTCTACCGTAGAGTGCTCGACTTCGCGTGCAGGTCGTTGGGCTGCCAAAGCGGGGGCGCCATCCCCTCTGCAGAGGATCAAAATTGTGATGGCTTGACTTCGGATCATGCTCAGGTATGTTTCCCAGACCGTCGCCAATAGCCCATTGTGCAGCTCTAGTGCGACGTAAATGAACTACAACAGCATTTTTTTCTACCGACATGTTATTGAAATAATTTGTGAAACTATCCGAAAGAGTTGTGAATAAATTATGAATTATTATATAGATATAAATAAATACGTAAATAAAAAGCGCGTTTATTGCCGGCAGTACATATATATATATATATACNCTCACGGTATTTCTATATACATGCGGTACAAATAATAATTATAAATAAATAGCAGTTTGTTGCGATTCTTGGCAAACTACTTTCACCGTTAGTCAAACGCAACTAATTTTTCGAATCTGATGAGTACTAATGTTCTCGTCAATGGAATGCCCCTTCATTCGTTGTCTTAAATTAAATTTAATTGTTGAGAAAGGCATAAGAAGTGGAAGAATAAATTCGTAAAGAAATGGTATTGAATAAAAAAATTGCCTCCTGTAAACACGAATGAACATTTCTTAATAATTCCTTATATAAGGCAAGTTTTATTCAAAATTATTTATTCTTTCAAAACCATTTTGAAAACATATTTCTAAATTTAGACCACAAGCAAAGTTTGTTTCCTAAAAGCAGAGACTACATCTATCATAAAGTAGTTGGTAGTCACTACATTTGAAAAAAAAAAAGTAGTTGCAGTCAACTATAAAAATATTGCAGTTTTTCCGACAATTGAGTATGTTAATGTGAAAAACCTTTTTTAAAAATGTGAAGCACTGCATTGCGAAATAATTGTATAAAGTTTTATGGCATAAAACAAATATTCTTTGTATTCTTTCCTTTTTTAAATTTTCAGAATCTTTGAAAGCTGAGTGGATGACCTTATGGCCGGTGTGGAATGGGTCACTGAAAGAGTGTGTTTATAGAATAATTGAAATTTTATAAAAGGGTTTTTGTTGTAATATTCTTTTGAAGAACTTAACACAAACAACTGATTTTTTAGTCCTTAAAGATTTTTTTTTCTTCCCATTTTCGAATTTTCTTATTTTTTACAGACTTTCATTATATCTTTTATGGGGGTATTGTAGAAGCATTATTTGCCCGCTGTTTGAAAATGTACGTCAAGGTTATAAGTTTTTTCTCATCATTTGATTAGGAGACTTTCTACAACGCTTTGGTTACCCCCATTTTAAAGTTATTCTTATTTAATGAATAAAATAAAAAAATATCTAAATTAATAAATAAAAACCTATTTAATGATCAAAATATAAAGAACTGGACTAGGATAATGTAACGAATAATAGAAAAACTAAACTAAGCAAATAAAAAAATAGAAATAAATCAAAATAATATCTGGAATAATAAAAAGTCTGGGATAAAGGAGGAGGAAGAACTCACCTGTTTGAAGATTCCCATGTTTTGGTCAGGTCAATCTGTGAAAATTTGACAACCTTACAACTTCCGTGACGTCAGATCTTGAAGGAGGACCTCTGGTGGATGTTTTGGGTATTTGAGGTCGTCGACCGTGTAGGACAGGTGGAGGTATGCTGCATTGAAAAAGGAATTTCCCTGAAGAGGGGGAAGGGGGCAAAGGGTGGCCATTATAGGTAGTAGGTCAAGACCGACTGAAAGTTGATACTTGACATATAGAGCGGCAGGTGGAAAAATCTCCGTTACGGTAACCGCATCTCCACCCGCGCAAGCAAACTTTCAATAATACAATCGAAATGAAGTAAATAAAAGAAAAATTGTTTTCAGCACAAGAAATTGGGAGAAAAGTTGCCTCGTCTTAAAGTGAATCGTTTTTGATGTTTCACATTTTTCTTTTTAAATATTTTTTGTTTCGGGAATGTTAGACGAAATTCAATACTGAGAGGTTAAAATGTGAGTATGAAGAAAGATGGTCTGGATATTGATCTTTATTTTTGTCATAAGCAGAAGAATAATATGTGAGGAAATTCTTCGGGCTTAAAAACAATTGAAAAAAAAAATTCTTGGGTTACGTAATTAATTTAAATTTAAAAAAAAATTAAAATGATAATTGCACTTTTATAAGTTCTTCATATTCAGGTTGGATGAGTGATCTGTCGGCCGATTATTTGTTCTTTCTCTCATAGAATTTTCGTTAAGGTTTCACGAAAGAAAAGAAACAGTAGCTCACATCCTTATAAGAGAAAGAAAAACATTTTATTTGCAATGTTATATAAATTGTTTTCGATAACAATATGGAGAAACTGATGAGAGTTAAATGTTTAACTTAAAGAATTCAGGTTCCTCGTTTGATTCATTCATTTAAAAATAATTCTTATCAGGAAAAATTATTTTTAAATGAATGATCCAGACTGTAAAAAGTAAATGACATCAAAGGAAATCCCTGTTAAAAGGTGATAAAGCCTGATATCTGCAATATATCAACTTCACTAAATTGTTTGGCTGTTCCACAAAATTTCTTCACAATTGTGCAGTTCCACACAATTGAAACATAAATGGAATTGTCATTCCACTTATCTCAACCGTTGTAGTCCCACAGACAAATCGTCGATTTGCAGAAGAGCATCAAAGCATCATGGAGAAGAGCATCAAGCATCATGGGCTGCTGTCAGTAAACGGTGGGTGACCACTTTGATCCGCCTGTGAAATGACTGAGGGTGTTCGGTACCTACCGTTTTACCGTAAAGTGATCAAATTCGCAAGTAGGCCGTTGGATTATCAAAGCAAGTGTGCGATTTTCTCTGCAGAGGATCAAAATTGTGATGGCATGTTTCCTCAGAATAGTTTCCAGCTCTATTGCGGCACAGATAAAGTACTATAACTATTCAAACCAATATAGTTTTCATTTATATATATATATTCCTATAATATTTTATATAAAATCAGATTTTGCTTGTGATGTCCTTAAAGGTATCTCTTACGCAACTATGAATGAGCTATATCCTGAACCTGAATGGTTGAGAATCTTTACAGATGGCTCCCGAGTGGATCAGCGGATGAGTGCTGGAGCGGTAGTATTTTGTCACCTGTTCTCTGCCTACGCTTCTGTTGGCTGTTATGCATCCGGTGAAATCGAGGCTATTCTAATTGCCTTAAAACAACTACAGTGTCGTACTGGCCAATTTTCCAGCGCCGTCATCTTATCTGACTCTAAAGCAGCACTTCTTGACATTAACTCTCCACTGATTCCCCAAAACATCTCCATTCAGAAATGCATTGATTGTCTGAAAGACCTGACACTAAAAGGCAGGGGCGTACGCAAGGGGGGGGGTTAGGGGTTTAAACCCCCCCCCCCCCCCTTGAGCTCAGACAAAGTGAATTTACAAAATAATACAGACAAAAATAAAAACTTTAGTAGAAATTATGCGGGGTATTATTT